CCTTCGAGTGCGCCCAGCACGCAGCCGAAAAGCTGGCGGCCAGGGAGCAGGCGGCGGGCTGGAATGGCACTGTCGCCGACGTGAAGTGGTTCCTTATGACCGACTCGAAGCTGCTGCAGAGAATGGCCAAGGCAGAGTACGGCGACAGGCTCTTCACGCACGAGGGCACCGTGGACTTCTACGCGACGCTGGGGGCTGCGGGCACGCTGTCCGTCATCGGCGAGCAGTGGCTGGGGACCTTCTGCGGTGCGCACGTCGTGACCGAAAAGTCCGGGCTTGGACGGCAGTCCGCGGCGCGCAGCCGCGCGTTCGTGCGTGGGGAGGGCATCTTACTCTACGCACCGAGCGTGGAGAAGAAAACACATGTCAACACGTAATCGTTCGGAGGTCCGCGTGGATTCCTTGGTTCGGCGCTGCTCGCGCCAGGAAGGGGTGTCCAGCGCCCGATTCAAGGAGCCCGCCGAACCTCCGAAAGAGTGTGCTTAGTATGTTGTTTTCTTCTTGTGCCAGCGCCTACCGCGGGTGCCAGAATTCGACATATCCTACCGGCGACGAGAGTGCGCACATGAGGATCCTCACAGACTTCTCCGCAATCTGAGCGGATTCTGTCCAGACGAAAAGTCGAGCTCGCCGTGCCTCTCTTGTACAGGATGTGTGTCTCAGGGGCTCGACTTGCTCCTCCTCCTCCTCCTCCTCCTCCTCCTCCTCCTCTTCCTCCTCCTCTTTCGTGCGCAAGGGTAGCGCCCATCCAGCATGCTTTATTAGTGCCGCCGCCTGCTGGGGTTGGCTGGGCCCCCAAGTCCGGACTCGTGGCAAGCCACCGGTTGGGGGATTGGGAGTTGCGTTCCTTGCCTAACAGGGGGCTCATTCTGACGGGGCTAGGATGAGGATAACTCCGTTCCAGAGCGTTCTGCAGCGCTCTGAGAGCGTTCGAGAACGCTCTGAGAAGGCCGCGGCACCCGAGACATCCTCAAGAGCCGCAGGATCTCAGAGATTCTCGATTTATCCACACCCGAATGTAGCTTCATCAGAGAAACTATGGATTCAGTTTGTGTCGGGGTTTCGGTTTTCTGCTATGCCTGGCGGCCCATAGGGGCCAGACGGATCGCGAGGAGGAGGAGGAGGAGGAGGAGGAGGAGGAGGAGGAGGGGCCATCTGTGGTTGTGGCTCCTCGCGTTTCTCCGGCCTGCCTCTCTCCCCTCCCCCTCCTCCCTCTCTCCCTAAATCCCCCTCCCTCCTCCTCCCCCCGCCCCTCCCCCCGAAATGGGACGAATTACACCCGACTGGTCCCAATTCCAACCGTTCGGAGCGAATTGCAACCATAAATGGGACCAATTACAACCATGGGATCTTCAGAAGTTCTTCTTTCTTCTTCAGAAGTACTTCTTTCTTCTTCAGAAGTACTTCTTCTTCAGAAGTACTTCGATTCCTCATGATTCCTTAGGATTCCTTAGGATCCTTAGGATTCCTTAGGGTCCTTGGGATTCATTAGGATCCTCAGGATCAGGACTCCTCCGGATTCCGTCAGGAACCCTTAGGAATATGCACGAATCCATCGAAATCCTGAAACATCTTTAGGGGAAGGGGGCGCTTTGGGGGCTTTCTTGGGGTCTCTTTGGGCCACTCTTAGGGCCCTCTTGGGGCCTTCTTGGAGCCCTCCTGGGGCCCTTATTGATTTTTCTTGGCGCCCAAATAAGCCCTAGAAGGGCCAACTTTCGAGGGCTGCAGGGGGGCCCTGCAGAGTGACGTCCTATGGGGGCTCAGATTGGACCTCGCCATCCCTGGGGGGGGGGGTGCTGCGATCTGCGAAACTGTCGCCACTTTCGAGGGGTGCTGGTGGGTCCAGTGGACTGGCGTCCTACAAGGGGCCCTAACAGAACCCGAAACGGCAGCAAGAGGGAAAAGCAACCGAACAATCTGTTATTTTTCGTAAGTTGGCGGGAAGAACAACCGAAACATTTATATTTTTTCGGAAGGGGCTGTTTTGGGGGCCTTCTTGGGGTCTCTCTGGGCCACTCTTGGGGCCCTCTTGGGGCCTTCTTGGAGCCCTCCTGGGGCTCTTATTGACGTTTGTTGGCGCCCAAATATGCCCTAGAAGGGCCAACTTTCGAGGGCTGCAGGGGGGGCCAGCAGAGTGACGTCCTATGGGGGCCCAGATTGGACCTCGCCATCCCTGGGGGCCTGGGGGGGGGGGGCTGCGATCTGCGAAACTGCCGCCACGTTCGAGGGGTGCTGGTGGGTCCTGCGGACTGGCGTCCTACAAGGGGCCCTAAAAGAGCCCGAAACGGCAGCAAGAGGGAAAAACAACCGAACAATATTTGATTTTTCGGAAGGGGGCGGGAAGAACAACCGAAACACATTATATGTTTCGGAAGGGGCTGCTCTGGGGGCCTTCTTGGGGTCTCTCTGGGCCACTCTTAGGGTCCTCTTGGGGCCTTTTGGGAGCCCTCTTGGAGCCCTCCCTCCTCCCTCCTCATCCCTCCTCCTCCTCCTCCTCCTC